CTATGTTATAGAAAATTTAATATTTGTTATCGACATATTTATTTTCATTCAAGTATAAAAACATCTCTGAATAATGAAATGTAATAGAGTTTGTGACTATCACTTACAGAATAGCAAARTCGTCTCAAGTCTCAAAAATTGTCTCTGTCAAATATAGAGACTTGATACTGTATCACAGTACAGAATCGCACGGTAAATTAGTTTTTGTGATTTTACATAAGTGAAGAAATGGTATTGTTCGAATCAAATCTACACCACAATAGTGAAATGAAAGGTAATGCAGTGTAGGAGTGGAAGGATTAAATATGTGAAATAATTATTAGCGTTGCCATACCCGTGAATGCTTTCAGATCATGACGAATACGAAAGATATAGACGTTAGACGGTGGAAATAGTGTTAAAAAAAACTGAAGAGAGTGAGCATTTTTCTGTTGAATGAGTCCAAACGTTTTTTTTTTTTTAGCAAAACAATGGTAATGTGTAAAGCGCAAACATAAAATGACTGAACGAAATTATTATAGTTTTTGGTTTTTGATGGCATACTATAAAACTCAACCATATATTAGATGAAAGAAAAAAGTATATAACAATTCGTTGCATAAAGAAAACGAAACTTAACAAACGAAAAACTCACCTCCAATGAATATAGCAACAGAGTAGTAGTAGTGGTAGTGGTGGTAGAAGATTTGGACGGAAACTGTACGACGGAAACAAACGAACGAACGAGCGACTTTGACTTTTTGCTTGCTAAACAACGTAAAGCTTAAACTAAGCTTCGCTGAGCAGAAATTGAAGTTGAGGCTGAAGCTGAGCTTGGACTTGAGTTACGGTTGGAGCTTGTGGTGGTGAATGCGTGTACGTGTGTGTGAGTGCACAAGCGCGGTCACAAGTCGTGGCTCGTTAGGATGGAGGTGGTGGTGGTTGGTTGATTGGTTGGTGATCGTGATGGTCGTGGCGGTTATTGTTGTATTGATAGTAGTAGTTGTAGTTGTTGTATATGGTAGGATTAGTTGGTTTTGGAAAAAGTTCATACATATACACACAGATGTCAGAAGTCGATTTAAAACATTTGGTTGTCGTTTATTTTTAATAAAAATATTGAACTAAAATTTAATTCACTTCTAACTCTAAACACATTTTTTGTCTGTAGCAGTTTACATTAAGCTTAGCAGTTCAAATTCTGATCTATTTTTGAGTATTGACTAGCGAAAAAAAGGATTAAAAGAAGAGAAAATAGATGTAGTAAGAAATAAAAAAAAAACAACAACACATACATATATAAAAATAATTTCTTGAAAAGCTCAGGCACATATTCGGCGAAAATAATGGTTGCTTGAAATACATTTCTTAGGTTTTCTTCATAACTAGTGTATATATACTTTGTTTAGAATTCGTGTAAGATTTTTGTTCCAAACCGAAAGATTTATATTTTTGTTGAATATTTGTTGGCCTTTTTGCTTACTAATACCATGTGTTAATGCATAAATATTATTTACAAAGCAACTAAATGCTTGCGTTAAGCTGCATAAAGCATTCTTTTCTACTTTATGTACAAGTCACAGTCTTTACTTTTTTCTTTTTGTTCTTTTATAATTTTTTCAGAATCTTAGTTTCGCTTTGAAGCTGGCGCCTACTACACTCATGAGCAGCAGAACGCATTTTAATATATTTTTTTTTAATGTCAACTCATCAAAAATCGTTCCTTAGTAAAATGACTTTAGACTGAAATCTACTAAATGATTGTATAAAACGGGAAGTTGCATTTATTTCAAAAGAAAAAGTTGATACTTTTTTTTCATAAATATCAAAATACTGGAGGAATTGAAGTTATTCTTTATCAGTTGAGCACTGATTACGGTGTTTTTAAGCTGATTTGTTACAACTAACTTTTTCTTAGTAATTTTAACCGTATAACTTTAAACCTTTATAGGTTATATAGGGAGATTATAGGCTATTTACTGCAGAATTCGGCATTATTTTACACATTTCAGCGTCAATCTTCTTTAGTCATATCCAATATGTTGGATATTGATTTCTAAATTGAATGGAGATGTACTAAAAAAATCGGTTTAGGAATGAATTTTAAGTTGAATTTTTCCTTTAACCTTGCTTACATTTCCCATATGTATGTGTATCCCTCAATTTATGTAGGTACGGAACTTAATAAATTAAAACTAGGAAAAGTGTTCACAAATAAAAGCACGCTTAGAGAGAATACGTTCCACCAAAATGTACGAATATATTCCTTACAAGCCTTTCTTTTAAACATGTAGTTTTCAATGAGGCAATACTTTTTTTCGGAGTTGGTCTTTTTGACAGAAATTCCTCGATCTTTCAATAGGGACGCTACAAAAATAGATCGATAGGGAAGGCAAACGACGCTGTATTTTTCCGTTCTTTTGACATTTCTCTTCAGTAAGGTTTGCAATTTCATTATGGAAAGTTATACGATTAAACAACGAGTTGAAATTATTAAAATTTGGTACCGGAGTCAGTGGCCTCAACTTTAAGAGCGCTACGTCCAATTTATGGCCTGCATAATCGACCTGTATAGTGGAAAAATTTGAATCCACAGACATATTACAAAATGTTTCCACGTCAGTGAGACAAAAAAGTGCCTGTTATAACGAGAACACTGCTGCCTCTAGCACATCAATTGAAGAAGAACCAAATTAGTCTCTGTGACGTCGTTGTGGTAAATTTGACGCTAGAACTAAAGGCACTTGACCACTAGAACCGACGTATGTTCATGAATTGGGCTGAGCAACAACTTGAAAATGATCCGTATTTTTATCGTAAACCCATCTTCAGTGATGAGGCTCATTTCTGGCTGAATGGCTTCGTCAATAAACAAAATACGTATTATTGGTCAGGCAGCAATCCACACAAACTCCATGAGTCGCCGTTGCATTCCGAAAAAAATACAGTTTGGTACGGTTTATAGACCGGCGCCGTCATTGGGCCGTACTTCTTCCGCGATGATGAAGACCGGCACATAACTGGGAAAGGGAATTGCTACCGCTCAATGATAACCGAATATTTCTGATCCGAATTAGATGATATGGACTTGAATAATATGTGGTTCCAACAGGACGGTGCCACATTCCACACAGCGAATGTCATAATCGATTCATTTAAAACCAAGTTTGGTGAACATTTTATCTCACGAAATGACCCAGTTAATTGGCCGCCACGGTCGTGCGATTTGACGCGATAGTTGAAAACTGGGTTCAGCGCCTGGACTTCTGCAAGGGGGGCCATGCAAAAGAAATCGAATTCCATACATAATGGCATTGAATATACTTTCACAGGAACAACGCCATGCCTGTAAATTTATTACCAAAATAATGATACGGTTTGGGTGACACTGCGTCTAATATTCGGTCCACCATAGATCAGTTTCGTAGCACCCCCACTAAGGGTATAATACGCATCCACAAACGTCGACAATTTCAGCTGTGTCCATCTACTTTATGGAAGGTTTTGCCGAGGGATTTCGGTCCCTGACACCAATTTTCACAAGAAAATTTTGTTCTGTGATGAAGCTCACTTGTGGTTGAATGGGTACGTTAATAAACAAAATTGTCGTATTTGGAGTGAGGAAAATCGACAAGCTATTATTGATACGTTGTTATGTCCTCAGAAAGTCACTGTCTTGCGTGGTCTATGGGCAGAGGAAATCAGTGCTGTATATTTCTTCAAAAATGAAGCCACTGGATATTAGTCAATGGGGAACGCCATAAGGCCATGAATAATGACTTATAGTGCCTGAATTGTAGGATGTTGATGAGGACGATTGTTGGTTTCAACAAGTCGGCGCTACCTGCCAAAAATCCATCGAAACTACCAATTTATTAAAGGAAACTTTTGTTGAGCGCATTATCTCGCGTCGTAGACTTGTGGCATGGTCGCGATGATCTTTGAATCATTTGTTATGTTTTCATGTATGATTAATATAGCCATTGGTTTATTATTTTTCGATTGATATTTGGAAGTCAAAATATTCTATTCTGATCTCCGAATATGTGGATTTCTCTGTCATGTCAAACTATAGAAGGTAAAATACGTCTCCCTCATATCTGATTTAAACTCATTAGTGTGTTACCTTCACTAGATTAGTAAAATGTGAGCAAATCTATTAAACAAAAATCATACGTTCTCTATAAGATTACAACTATAATAAAACTACAAAAAATAATTAAGCTAGTGTCCATGATATTTTATTTCCATAAACAGTTCAAACCCTTTACTCCGTTGATTATCAGGCATAAAAAGAATTAATTTTTCTTAGTTTTAATTTCGTTTTTCATTTGAAATAAATGCAAATTCTGAAAATGTGTGTGACGAAAAAAGTGCGCTGGCAACTGAAACACTCATTCTTCTTAACAATTTTTATTTTTTGTGTTTGTTTCTTTGTTATTTACCGATTTTGCATTTCACATTGGCATAAATTAAGAGTTGCTAATTCCAGCTATGTCCATCTTCAATGCAAAAAAAGTATACAAAAATAAATAAAATTATATGCACAAAATAGAAGCGTAGATTAGAGAAACATTTTAATACAAAATTTTGAATCATGGAAGTAAAAGCAGAGAAGTTAAACATATTCTAAAGGCTGGGTATTGTAATTTTGTGGTTATTTATTTAATTTTCAATTCATTGGCTCACACAAAAAACGAACTTTTGAGGTTAAATATATAGTAAGCAGTTTCGGGTAGGAAGTCACAGAGAGTAGATATTTAGATACATTTTAAACACTTTTCGTATACATATACATACATATGTATAGATTAAGAGGTAATAATAACTATAACAGATCATAATAAACGTAATTATAGCGCATAAAAGTAGAGCGCGTCGAAGCTGCTTGAAAATGCTTGCCTTGCAATTGTCCGAGTGGTTTTTGGCTGATTTTTGCTTTTGCAAACGCACTAACGCACTCGTACTCGCACACATGCGCTAACAGCGTAACTATTGACAAAAACAATGGAAACACTCACCTTCTGACGGGACTTGCCATCACCAGTGGTGTTGCCACACCCAACGGTTTTATTCGTTGCTGCATTGTGGGCGTTGCAGTTGTCCCACTGCGTTGTTGTTGCTGTGCGCCCTGATTGCTCGGATGAGCAGGATGATCGGGCGACAATGGATCGGCGGGATTATAGCCGCGTTGTGGCTCCAAACCGCTAAACAAATAAATTAATAATTATATTAATTAATAGGAGATAATTAATTTAAGGTATAAAAATACTCATAAATATGTGGCAACTCACCGCTGACGCGCTAGTGGACTGTGTCGCGGATGATACATGCGCATATGACGTGGTGAATCGCCACCACCACCACCACCAGCGCCTACGACGCCGCCGCCACTTCCACCAGCGTTAGGCATCATGCCCGCACCGGTCGCTATGCCACCGTTATTCATATTGCTCACGCCTGCCTCCACTTGGGGCAAGTAGAAATTTGTCGAATTGTGTCGTTGCAGTGGCGGTGTGGGCTCACAATCTTGACTCTGCGATGCCTGCGGCTCCATATCGGTGTCTGAACATTCACGTCCAGGCGACAGCTAAACGGCGAGGGGGAAGGAGCGCAGAAAGGCGCGGTGTTAGCTAATAATTGAAATCGCAAGTAAAATACAATGCACAAAAGCTAAATACTAATTTTAATTGAAATTGCATGAAAACCAAGGAAACACAAAAAAAATCATTATGAAAGCGGCTGTTCGAGATGAAATAATTAACATAAAATATGTATGTATGTAGATATGTAAATTATGGTAACGAGTTTAATGAATTCAATTAACGTTTTCATGTATGGTTTGTGAAATTGTATGAAACTGTTGTTGTTGGTATGCCAAGGTGCGGCAAACGGATGAGCGAATTTGGGGGTTTGATTAACACTTGCGCGGATTGGATTAATTTGATTAACACAAGGGTAAACATAATCTGTTTAATATATTGTAATGGCATTTCTTTGATTTTGCGAATTTTATAGAAATCACTTGAGCTTTCCCAATAAAAGCGGGTTGGCATTTTCGGACTGAACCACAACCAGTTCTGTAAGGTGAAAGGGATTCACTTGCGTGACTAAGAACGGGGACTTTCCTGATAAATTTTAAAATAATTTACAAAAACTTTTGTTTTTTTTACAACAACAAATTGTTTCTAAGTGAACTACGCTCAGCACTCTTTCTTAGAAGATTTGAGATTTAAAGAGTACCACGAGAAAACAATAATAAAAATAACAGTTATTTGAACCTTTTAAAGCAAATGTTGTTTGAATCCAGCAGTTTGGCTTCATCTCACCTTCTATTGTGGCGTTGAGACTTGAAGGTTCTTTTAGCTTCAAGCCGTATTTAAATGATTGAAGGATTTTGTTAGAAGTTTCTCATGTTAAAATGTGACTATTTGAAATTGGGACTATGAGGTGACCACTATTTTTGAACAATCTATAATTTTACATTTTTTCATCTTTGATTTGAACTCTTGAGCTTGAGGTATCGAAAGATAGTCATGACAAGAACCACCAAAGCTACAATACACCTCACAAACGAAAAAGTTTTAATTTAAAAACTTGATTTTAATCGTTCAGTTTGTTTAGGAACTATATGCTATAGTAGTCCGATCCAACGATTTTTTCGAAAATTGTATTGCTGCCTTAAAAAATAACCCATGTGAAATTTCATGAAGATACATATCTCTTCAAATAAAAAAGTTGTTCATACAATGACATGATTTTAATCGTTCTATTGATAGCTATATGCCATAAAGGTCCGATATCGGCGGTTCCGACAAATGAGCAACTTCTAGAAGAAAAATAGACGTATGCAAAATTTCAGACCGATATCTCAAACTACTTCGGGTGTACACAGAAGTACAGACGGCCATGGCTAAATCAACTCAAGCTGATAATTTATATATTTATTTTATAGCATCTCCTGCTGGGTGTTCAAACTTCTGTTCAGGATATGAAAGAGCGACATTTTTCTAACGTTACGTTAGCATCATGGAAATTGACCAAATTAGAGTATTCTGCACACTCAAGGCAGACCTGCCAATATTTCTAAACAAATTGATTCTAGAAAGCTTAGAATTCATAAAATCCAGAAAACGCATTTCCTAATTTTAACATTATATAATATAATGAATGTATTTATGTATGTAAGTAGTTATACAACAATAATTTTAGTTAAAACGGAACACAATGGTTGTACAAAAATATGATAGTGAAAACGGTATTTGTTAAAAATCCTAAATAACTATAATTTTCAAAACATTGTATAAAGAAATAAGTTACAATGCTTCAACTATTTATATTAATGAAAACTGTAGTACGAATCGTATACGAGTAAAAAATCGCTCAAATTACCAACAAACGAATTAAGTAGAATATATTGTAGAGTTTGCAAAACGCATTGGAAATCTTAATAAAGGAACGAATGACATGAAGAGTACGTATTTTTTTTTATTAAAGAGAAAACTTTTCAAAAAAGTTATCGCACGAACAAATACAAGTATATATGTATATGAACAATAATAATATGGTTTTTCGCAAAAAAATATTGAAAAAAATGAATTAATAGATAGATTTTTTTTACCTTTTTCGGTGCTTGCATTTAGTGTAGAGTTTTGTTTTGCTTTATTTATTTTTTTTTATACGGACCAATTTGAATATAGAGCTTTTCTAACTAACAAAATAGCATACCATTACGAGATAGTGCATTCGAACAAAATAATATTGGACAAACTGCTGTAGTTCTGTAGTAAAGAGTACGAAAAAAGTACTGGTCAAAAAATGCCAATTAAATTTATTCACTTAAATTAATTATTGGAAGTAAACTGCAGTTCTTGGGTTCGGTATAAAAAGGCGATGAAATTAACTTTAATCGAGAAGAAATGTAAGACAATTAGCTTAAATATTTCTGCAAATAACTTCTTCGAAAAGGCTACATTTTATTTCTCAATGCTAATTTGCTAATTAAATATTTTAAATTTTTTGCTACTTAAAATTTGGACATCTGAGATGATAAATTAAACTTTAAGCTCTAAAAAGATATAATGTCTTTTATTTTAAAGGTTATTATACTTTAAAGTTATTTCATAACATTTTCTCGTTTTAGCATAACATGTCCCTAACTCTTGAGAGTGGCGAATTGAACAAACTAGAGGCATAAATCAAATAAACTGGTATAAAGGAATAGAAAAGTAAACCGGATAGGGTTTATGCCACTTTAAAGAGAGTATTTTATTACTTTATGTTAACTTGGTGTTTGTACTCAGCTAAAAACTTCTAGACAAGAGATCAGATAACAAAAAAATATAGAGCAGATATTTGGCAAATCGAAGAAGGCTTATGTGATATTTTGTTTCATATAACCGGCAGACATTTTACTACAAAACTATATAACAGTTTGCCGAATAATTAGTTGCGGTAAATAGTAGTATACTAAATACATACATACATTTATTTTAGAGCAGAAAAATTAACTAAACTGCACATGCAAAAAAATTAAACACCTTCAAAAGTAGAAAAATTTAAAAATATTTAAAAAGAAATTTAAAAAAATATATGAAGTTTTAAACTTTTCCAAACGAGATTGCAGAAGCTTTTAAATTTAACGAGCATTGACAGTGAGGATTTTAAATTGCTAGGAATGCAATTAGGTTTCTAACTGTTTTCATACTATTTTTTATTATATTGGCCTACATGAAGCAAATTGGTTTGTACTTTTATAATTTAATCTGAAATGGGTAAGATAGTTAGCAAGAATTTCTAGCAAATATACTAATGGGGTTTTTCAAAAGGCACACTACAAAAGTAGACCGATAGGGACAGCGAACGACGCCATATTTTATCTTATCATATCTTTTGACATTTCTCTTAAGTAAGGTTTACCGTTTCAACACGGAAAGATATAGGAGATATAGGATATAGATATAGGAAAGGTATAGCACGAGTCGAAATTATTAAAATTTAAAAATTATAAAAAATTTAAAATTCAGCGTCTAATGGAGAATTTCTCAGGCGCAGTACAAAATGTTCCCGTGCCACTGAGACAAAGATTACAAGATCAAATTGACGCAAGAACTGAAGCCGCTTGACACCAGAATCGTCGAATATTTGTGAATTGGGCTGAGCAATAACTCTTGGCTTCGTCAATAAGCAAAATATGCGTTATTGGTCAGGCAGCAATGCACAAGTATTCTCAAAAACTGACGGACTAATTTTCGTATATACAGACAGACAGACWGACGGACATGGCTCAAACGACTAAATTTATCACGCAAATTTTTTGTACATATACTTTATATGTTCTCCGACGTTTCCTTCTGGAAGTTAACAACTTCGTAGCATTAATTAATACTATAATCTGTATAGGGTATACAAATTGATAATCGCACTTTTTTTGTTAGATTGAATTTTAAAATTGCCAAAAATTTATGGTTTTCACTATTTCTACAGGATAATGGACCCTATTACACAATATAATTGTTTGCCATTATTATTTAAAAACTTGAAGTGAGTTTCCAGTTTACATGTTTACAAAAAAAAAAAAATAATAAAGGGGTCATAATAACATATCCTTAAATATTTCAGTTAGAAAAAAAATCCTAAAAGAATAATATATTGCTAACTTTCAGCGAAAGCCGATATGCGTACTTATAATATAAATAATATATACAAAATACCTTCATACAAAAATTATATAACCATACAACTTCTTTACAGCAATTCCCTATTTTTCAATGCTCAGCATACAAAACAAATATTCAAGTATTGTGCAAGCATTAATTTAGGTAATAAGCTGTTAGTGTCGAATTAAAAGTTAAAAAAATGTTTCAATTAAATTTAAGCCTTACACAATATAAATTATATAATATTTGTATATACGAAAAAAAAAACATTGTCTCGTAGTCAGGCGGGCAGGCAGTGACAACACTATTAAACTGATATAAATGCAATCACCAATTAGTGCACAGTGAAGAGAATAGAAAATAAAATACGAAACTATAGGTCAAATATTCAATTAATGCACTCGCAGTACATATGTATGTACAAACAATGAAAACAGCAATAACAAATTGGAAGGCATTAGAATTAATGGAATCAAAATATGTTACTCGTATGTGGGAATCACGTCATTCCATAATAAAACAGGCAATTAAGAAAAATTCAATGCAGCTACACACTATTAAAATATGTAGGTGTATATATATACAAGAGCCAATCACCGTTTCTATATGTGTATGTGTGTGTGGGGAAGTGCATATAAATGTGTACATATGTGTTTTATGGAAACTAAACACCCAAGTATTGTTGAAAAAATTATGAAACTAAATAAAATAATTGACAAAAAGGCAAACGTGTACATACATACAAGTACGAGCACTTTATCGTACATGAATACAAACAACAACACAACGAGTACATATGTAGATACATATAAGAAGGAAAAAAAGTAAGTTAAATAGTTTGCTTAGTTTTTTTTTGTTGTTTTTACAAAAGATAGTTTCGCAACGATTCGCAACAATAACCAGCAATAATCAATTTACCCACCTTACTATAAAGCGTTGTGCTGCCCGACCGTTGATTATAACCATTGCCCTGGTCCGTATAAGTCTTTACCTGAGTGTGTCGATTGTCCCTATCGTAATAGTTTTTCAGCGTTTCGCGTGGTGAACGTGGCACATTGCCGGATGTGTTGTTGCCCCGCATACTGCTGCCCTGTTGATTCGTCCGCCGTTCGGTGGTGATAACACTAATACCCTGACCGTCCTTGTGTGAGCGACGAGCGGCATACTTTTCTGGCTTAAGAAGACTGTTTAAAACGATTTGTTGGGTGTCAGCATCACATCCGTTGGCATTAACACAGCGGCAGCAACATTCCGGCATTCGTTTACGCGGTATATAATTTATTTCAATTATGCAACGGAAGTTAATAAAAAGAAAGAAAAATTATTATTTATTAGTGCCGATTCATGATGTACGTGTGATGTACTATGTAGGTATATACATATAAATATAAATGTACCTTGGATATTGTGGTCCACACTGGGTGTAACAGCAATTATGCCAGCAGCCACGTGAGAATGGATTATATCCACCTTTGAATTTGCCAGTGACCTGTTCGTTTGTTGTGCGCCCACGTGATACGAGCACCATATGAAAACCGGTAAGCCCGAAAATCGGAATCGCTAGGATTATAACTATAGCCATCAACACCATACTGTGGTTGTGGCAAAGTTTAGTAGTTTAGGAAAATGTTTCTTTTTTTGAAATTTGAAGACCTCAGTTTACATTAACTTAATGTAATAATGTCAAAATTCATAGACAGTAAAATATACTAAACGGAATGAAATAAAATAATAGTATTTGTAATCGCGTTTTAAGTTGGAAATATTTATAAGAAACGAATACAGATCGTTCCGCAGATAACTTTTGGATTTTAATTTATGTTTCCCTACGGTTTGTGTCGATAAAATGCTCTAAATTCTGATAGTTTGTAGATACCTCAAGCAAGCGTTTAATATTTGTACTCAGTACTGTGAAAAAGTGCTTCTCGGAAATATATTTATAAACGTTTAAACTAATTAAAATAAAAAAAACGTTAACAACGGAAGCATCAAAGCTTTAAACTCTTCACAGGTGCATTTCCTATAGTAACTATGTACAAGTATATCAAGTATATGTATGTAAGTCTAAAAACGTAACCAGCCAACGGCAACCTTGAATGACGGCTATACGTTTTAGGGGTCCGATATGTACAATATGTTCGGACATACTCGCTTTGCGGAATATCGTGAAGATATCTTGTCAAATAGAAACTAAAAAAGAACTTGATCGTAATCGGGGTGTTGGTATAACACTTAAATCCTACAGAGGTCCGATGTCGGCCGAATGCTTCTTGGGGAGCAAAGAACACTTGTACAAAAATTCGGATCGATATCTCAAAAACTAAGGAATTAGATGGGGTTTATATATAGACATACAGTCGGACACTCCCGTTCCCAAGATAGTCGGGTCCACGCAACCGGAATGGGTCCGGATTTTTAACCGGCCAAGGACTTTCAACTCAGAAGATTTCTGCCGCTACAACAACAACTAAATTAACTAAGCTAATCACGCTGCACACTTATATCTATAATAATTTAATATAATAAATTAAGAGGGTAAAAGTAGCAGTAGCAGTAGATGTACTGCTTCAAAGTAGAGCTTCCTTCAAAGAGTCTTGCATTCACTGTGGCGGCTATACTGGCTTTGAACTCGCTGACTGTTAGCAAAAAGCTAGTCAAGAGTGTGTGTCCACATTACCAATAGCATCAATCTTCTTCCATATTAGATTTGTTTGCGTTCCGGGTTATAGCGGAATAATCAGAAATTTCAAATTCGATAAGCTAGGTAGAGAGGGTACTTTTACCCTAATTTTATCTGATTGGAAACGCTCAGAGACCCAGAGTGACCCGAAGTGGCCGTTCCCACGACAGTCGGGTCTACGTAAACGGAACATACTCGAATTTTTATCTGGAAAAGGACTGTCAAATCGGAATAATTCTGACGCTACAACATCAACATCTGACGAAGTGGCTGCTATTGACATTAAATCTTAAAACTCATTGTCCAGCTATGAGGATCTGATGATCAAGTTATAGCAATTTTGTTATCACAGAGAAGCAACCCTCACATTTGTCCAACTGAGTGTTTAAAAAAAAAAAATATTGCCGTTACTTTACGTTTTTGAATCCAATTGAATACTAAAGCACTTGGGATTTGTGAAAAATATATAAGAAGCGTTGAAGCTCGCTTAATATTTCAGCTTAACGCTTCGGTTGCCTTCAACTAACGAATTTAAATTACAACACGTGATACTCCATATTTATCTCAGCTTACACACAAACAAAAACAGTATATCAACATTTTTGGCAAGTCATGACATTGGAAAAGTTTTTGCATAAATTAACTTTTTACGTTTTCAAAAGGATACGCTACTATGGGCGATGTTTCCCTGATGTTTGGCGTTATCTTCAATATATAAAATAAGCATAATGAAAATATGCTCAGCATGTGTATGGACAGTGAAACTAAAAAGAAGAAGAAGAAACGATAATTGCGACGTCCAATGCAATTGTTCACCCAAGGGCAATGATGATCGAATGTCTATAATAAAGTCCCAATAAAAATGATTGTAAACATTTAATATGAGCATATAATAAAATAAACATTTTGCTACTTTACCTCTATGCAATGATTGCATACGGAACAATGTGAACAGCGTGGCGGACGATAGAATTTACAAGTCACACACCATTTCATCTTGACGGTGATGCCATTGATTTCGGCATTTTTATAAAGCGGTGCACGAAACTCCTCCTCCCGGTCCTCATCTGGCGATGCTGTGTTGACGCACGTGTGTGTGTGGGTGTGTGTGTGGAGTGAAGTGGCGAAATTGGTTACAAAGTAAAGGAAAAATAAAAATAAAATTGTAAAATAAATGTCATTGCAGAGAATTGTACCTTTTGGTATGACACCGGGGTCCATGAATGTCGCTAATGAGAAATTGGCCAAAACGAAAAATGTGATGACACCCTGATATGCCGGTACCCATAGATGGCTTTTCAAATAGTATTGGCAGCTGCAATGAAATGGACATGACAAGAACATAAGTACCAGCAATAAATATATATACAATATAAGAAAATAAACGGACCTAGTGTAGATGGCATATAAAATTATGTAAACGGAAATGAGATGGGAAGTCGTAAGTAGGGGTAAGTAGCTGAATGAACGTAAAGGAAGGAAATACATTTGCTTCACACTTTATGTGAGATATAAATTTTGCCAAAGAAAAAGTTTAAATGCGATATCCGCTTTTAAATTTATATCTCCTCTATATTGCTTTTCAGTGTATTGTAAATATGTGTGTGTATGTGCGGGGTCTCTGGTAGTAGGCTGCGAGACAGTCATTGGTGCCGGCGATGATTTGCAGCCGCAAACTTAGGCTAAGCATACGCTCCGAGTCAACTTGTAATGAAGGATGTGGGACAAAGGGCAAGACGGTTCACTCTGTGGACAGTCAAATGCGCAAACCAACCGGCACTTTTGTACATTTTAAATTAATGTGAGCTCAGGCGTGGACATAAAAGTGGGGTAGGCATGCATGCGGTTGAGTTATGCGGCATTACAACGAGGCTTGTGCCTTAGTTTTCTGCATCTTCACAGTTTTCATTTCATTTTAACAACAAATAAACATAAAAAGGAAATTGTCGCATAGAAGACATACATACATACATATATGTATATGTTTAGTAGTGGCAGGGATGCTGATTCTACATCACACAACAGCCAATATATAGGTAGTTAGGTGAGTAGGTTAGCTAGCTATCGGATTTTATGTAAGCCGTATCTATGGCTGGCTTATAAATTCATTTACTAAAGGATATGCTTGCTTTAAATAACCTTTATGCCATATAATGCACCATACATACAGACACATTGCTGTTGCTTTTAGTGTGCTCATAAAAGCAAAGACTCTCATTCACTTGCCGACTCGTAATTTGTAGGAACAAGCAGCTATTCGCAGGCGGCTTTTAGGTACAACCATATCTATGTATGGTTGCCACATGTTAGGTGGTACAAGCTAAAAATTATAGATCGTGTCAAACAATTCAATACATGTACATATGTATGAACGTCTGGCTGGCTATATGAATGCATTGCATTTGGCAAAAATTTCATTGAAATCTACAATGAATAACTTCGTTGCATTTGTTTTGTATACCACAAATAAAGAACTGCACTTTTCATTCATTCAACGGTCTTGTGTTGTGAAAGATGACTGAACTGTTGACTATTTCTTGCATACGTTTAATTATTTAAATTTTTTCTCCAGTTGAGTTTGGAAATATGACAAATTTAATTTTAATTACGAGCATAACAAACTTTCCAATAGGTAGTGAAGGGCTAAATTCTGAAAGAGTTCAATATTAGATACATACATAAAGAGTTTAAAAATATTAAATGAAACAGGAGAAATCTCTATTTTTATTATTTTTAATATATGAATCTTTCTGATTTTTGGAATCAATCCAATACTATGTTTAAGAAAACGAATGAAAAGACATCCTAAAGGTTTTGAAAGTGTGTGTAAGTCCAGCACTAAGCTTGTTGCTTTAAATTGTTACACTCTCATCAAAGATAATTTTATAAAATATAGACAAATACTCAAAAATACTAAATATATTATGTATGCTAATATTAACGAACCGATATGCTTCGGAAATATGAATACATTTGGAACTGAAAGATCTTGACTTCTTTTTCTATCTCTTTCTCCCTCTCTCTATTCGGCTGCATAACTTAGCCAGTATTTCCAAGTGGAAGTACTAGACAGAGAGAAGGTGGAGCTCTATTAAATAACAAGGAAAGGATACAGAAAGCAACTTTATACACGGTTAGCCAGTTGGTATTGGTGGCCTTGTTGAAGCTTAAGATTTCAGCGTAGTCAACAGTTGCAGTTTAGTTCCTTTTTCGGTGACGGCCAAGCACACTAAAAACGATCAACAGAGAGAAGGTGAATAAATAACGGGTTTTTCGATAGAGACGCTACAAATGCAGACCGGTAGGGACAGCAAACGACGCCATATGGCAAACCTTACTGAAAAGAAATGTCCTCCTCTTTTGACCTTTCCTTTTAGTAAGGTTTGTCATTTCATCATAAAAAGATTTACGATTTAACAAACAGTCGAAATTATTAAAATTTACTACCGAAATGCGGAGTTAGTGCCCTCAACTTTGTTCCTACCGCATCAATTGAAGAAGACCCAATAAAAAATAAGGCCGTCGGCGCCATTGGGCCGTAATTTTCCCGTGATGCTCAAGACCGGTACATTACTGTGAATGGGAATTGCTAACGCTCAATGATAACCGAATTTATCATGTCTGGCGGCTCTGAAAACGGCTTCCATTTAGGATATATCATAAACTTATATTGGTAGACGGTCGATCGGCTGCTATTTAGGATATACCAAGAACTCATATTGACAGACGGTCGATTGAAGGTGCGCGAGATATTTAAGACAGGAGGCTTCTTTAAAAACTGCTTAGATCATATCCTGTATAAAATATTAGACATGGTAAAGCTGTTGCCGCCATTAAATACAATTCTTAGGGTTTAGTTTCTTCAAATAAAAACTCAATATTGGTGAATAAATTAATACCCTACAGCAGTGAATTTACGAGTCCCAACATGTTTCCTCAGGCTAAATTAGGAATTAAAATGAGAAAAATCAAGTTTGTATTGTCGCACAGGAAGTATCACACAATATGACTAGATAGCCATTTGTCGTTTAGAATAAACGAAACGAGTGGAAATTCTTAGCTTTCCGTTGCTTTTTCTGACCAATTCCATTTAGCTTTTCAGTGATTTTAATAAAAAATGTAAATTTTCAACGATAGAGCATTTTGTTGTTCGCCTAAGGCTTTTGTTATTTTATGTTAATCAAATGCTAAGTTGATTTATGATAACCTCGTTATTTGTAAATATTTTACACCAACACCGCACTAACATACATACGCACATCCTACATACATAATTCACGAGCTGGAGACGCGCATAATGCAGTTGTCGAATTGAAAAGTAAACATTTCGAGGCGAATTTCGTATGCGAATTGAATTTGAAGTGCTCCGCAAACAATTTGTCGGCTTTTTTCTATTTTGTTTCTATTTTTTTGTGCATTAGTAAACAAAAAATTGAATAAAAGCTACCAAAGGAAAAAAAATCATTTTTCACTCGTATTAGCAACGCCTTTGGAATTTTAAAAAGTCACACAACGCGCCACACAGCAAGGGGACTGAGGGTGGAGGCAATTACAAATGAATTCTGACGTATGTGTTAGCGGCTTGGGTAGGAACTCATGCGAGAAGGCGGTATAGCTCCATAAATATGTATTTGTGTATGTATGTGATTGTGTGGCAATTGATTCGTTGTTCACCCAAAATCAAGTAGCTTGTCTATTAAATATTCATATCTCAAGTTGAAATTAACTTAATTTTGTGTTAATTAACTTCATAAATATACAGTAGCTTCAAAAATGAATCCAGTGATGTTATAATACATCATCATCATCATGGTATAAGACTGATTTTTTTAAGTGATAACATATGTATGTATGTTAATCGAAAAAAATTCTATATCCGAAGAAAATATGATTTTAAATATACAATACATTGATGAAGGAACTTGGTTCACGGGTTCCTTGCACTCTAAGAAGCTTGTATTCCAGATTGGCGGAAGTAAGCGAATTAAATTAAGTTACACAGCTGTAATTACATAGGGTTTGACAAGTTGTAAAAGTGGGTGCTATATCCCAAGAGCTATATTAACCAAATTTTCTCTTTTCGACACCTTCTCAGACAGAGCGAAATGGGGAAATAGGAGATGAACCACAACCGCTTCCATATAATGATCAAGTTGAAAACGACTAAAGGTGCAATAACTCACCAAATAAATACGTGTCATAGCCAAGATTATTCGGAAGTAGCCGGTGAGGCAGCGGTTTGAAAAAAAAAAACATCGAATTTGGTCCTTTTTTCGACAGTTTTTCGGAGAAAAAATAGCAAGATTTAAAAAAAAAAAAAAAAAAAAGCTTTCATAACGCGATAGAGAATGACGTTAAAAATGTTTTCTTCAAATTGACACTAGATATCTTCAAAATTCTTCCTTTGAGACTGGAAATCGTTTTGAAAAATAAAAAAAAATAAAATGTTTTTATTGTCTTATTAAACTCTGCAACACCTCTAGAGCATTGTTCAAGTTGCTCCGAGTAATATTAGGCTATCAAATATCTCCCTTCCGCCCTTTTGAATTTCGCGGCTATGTATAAAGCGCTACAGAGCTCATATGTATACTATACATCTTTGAAAGGTCTTGACATAACTTTCAAAACGACGCTATGCATGATTAGTTTGGATATTACGTTCAACAGTTATAGACGTGTAAACATAGAGTTCACTAAAGCCGAAATTCACGCTATTTTAAAGTTTTCCTTCATTAAAGGTAAATCCGCTAGAGAAACGTTCCATAAGATTAATGTTGTTTTGAGGACGGGTACTCTATCACTTCGAACTGCGGAGGAATGGTTTCGACGATTCAGAGCTGGTGAAAAACACACCACCAGAAAATGGGAGTTAGTCACCAAATCATTTTAAACCATCTGCAGAAAGCTGAAAGCTTGATGTTTGCGTGCCGCATGATTTGACGCAAAAAAACCTTCTGGACCGAATCAACGCCTGCGATATGCTGCTGAAATGGAACGAACTCGACAAATTTTTGAAGCAGATGTTGACTGGCGACGAAAAATGGATCGGTCGTGGTCGAAGGCCGGTGAATCGTCTCAAACAGTGGCCAAGCCGTCTCCCATATGGCCAGACCTTAATTCTACCATCTACTACGAACAACTGGACCGCTTGAAGCAGGCGATCGAACAGAAGCGTTCAGAATTGGCCATTAGGAAGGGACAAGTCCAGACCACACATTCCGTTGAGGATACGTCACGAACCTACGGGAGCTCGGATGGGAGGTTTTCTCGCATATACCATATAGTCCGGACATAGCGCCAAGTAATTACCACCTG